TTCAGTGTCTTAAGCACATATGAAGGGTGAGCATTAAAAGCTCGGGATAAATGCTGTAGGCGGATAAGTTTTAACTTCCGTGCCTTCAGAGGATGGAAACATGCTATCTTATTCAGCTTGTGACTTATGCAGGCGTTTACGCCATTTTCGATTAAAGGCTTTTAAATAGTCTTGATTATCGAAAGCATGTGAAGTCAACTCGGCGATTGTATTGTCTATAAAGCGTGTACGATAGTATGTATAGCCTCCCTTATCCGTTCTCCATATAATGTCTTTAAATTCAGAACGATCAAGAGGAGGGGCATTAGAGTCATGTCTTCTTGCGAGTATAGTCTCTGTAGTCGGAGTACGACGTGTGCCTATATTAAGCGCACTTGAACCATCGGGGTTATTTATCTCGTATGTTCCACTTTTAGTGTCTGCTACAGAGATTATATATGGACCTATCCATTTAGATGTTAATACAGTAGCATTGGAATTACGTTGACGGATATTAACTCTGTCACCGACCTGATACTCTGCTATCATTTTGGTAGTGTCTCAACACTTTTGCCATTTTATTAAGGCTATATTGCGTATTTCTCGTAAGCAAGGATAAAACGTTATAAATACGTTGTACCTTCTCTAACCGTGGTAACTCATGGTGATCTAAAAAGGGGTATTTGTAACTCACTATATCTGCGACGAAAAATAGTGAGCGGGTGTAGCTCCTGTAACCGGATCAGCACACTCGTTTATCTGTGTTTGTACCCACTTAAGGTGGTACGGCCAATCATCTGCATCATCCGTTAATGCAGTACGCAAGAAGAACTTAAGTCTTCTATGGCGCGTTTCAATCGCGCCTTGCGTTTGCGGTTTATATGGCACACCTCTCTTATGGCACATGCCTGATACGAGTACTAGCGATTCCAGTACGTTATCGCAGAACTCACTACCGTTATCAGTACACATAATATCTGGTCACCCGTGGTCAGCAAAGACTTGGCAACATAATTCTGCCACGGTCTGCGTATTCTTATCCTTTGATGGATAGAGCAAGTTAAACCGTGACGCCACATCAAAGAAGTGGCATACGTAACGGTCGCCTGATATACTCTGACAACTAAAGTTGCCAGCTTAGGGTGCGCGATCTCATTTTGCTTAGCATCTTTAAGTGCGTCTACTACGTTCTGGTGCTTCAGCTTATGGGTTTGCGTCAGCCAAGCAAGAATGTTTTTATCATTCTGCTCCTCCAGAATAAAGGTAGGGTGTTGAGAATCCACTTGCGTGGTCTCTAAGTCTGTAGTGTTTCCAGACTCCTGTCCTTCTTTTGCATGAGTGTCATAAGTGTGCTCATGTACGTTTGATACACCTGACTTATTAAATAGTCGTATTATATGTATATACGCTTCAGGACTATCTTTCATTAATCCCTTTAAAAATAGGGTTTGAAAGACCTCGGGCTTGGACTTTATGTTATTAAACAGAGTCCTAGCTAGAGACTGACGCTTCTTAACAGTAGTGTCATTAGTAGATTGTATTTCTTGTGCACAGACTTCAAGTGCTGAGAGACTACAGGTCTCAGGCCAGATTTTACAGCAAGAAACCATCTTTGATTTATGGAAGTCATCAGAATTGGCTCACTCCCGAGAGCTAATTCATCAGAGTTAGCTCACTCCCGAGAGCTAATCATGTTGCTCAAATTACTCCCAAGAGTTGAGTTATTACTTAACCGACTTTCGAGAGTGGATTTAGTTTCTCAACTGATTCCCGAGAGTGGGTTAAGCCTGTCAACCACAACATATTAATAATAGCTGCGGTTCTATGTGAGTCACAACCTATGCGGTAAGGCATCATGTGATCAGCGTGAGATTTAGTTGCAGAGAAGTTGAAATAGAAAAGCATCGAGGTGTTAAAGTGTTCCGCATAAGGTTTCTCATACTGACCATATGAGGTTTTACGCAGGCCAGCCCAAGCGGCTGAACACTAGCACAAACACCTTAGGTATAAAACCAAAAGGTGAGGTCAGAAATAAATACATACATTTGCAATATATTTAAAGTCTTCTTCATTGTACTCTAACAAGTGCTGTGTTGCCTTCGAACTGCTTAACATTCAATTTGGTAGATAGTGGAATCTCTGATTCTTTGACCTTGTTAAGGAAGATCTCAGAAGGGATCCATTTGGTTGTTCCAACGGGACCTATACGGTATATTATGGTATGTCTCCAGGGCGTCTTTTGGACGGCTCAGGTACCCTGATATAGGAAAGTATCTACTTCCCTATCTAAATATATTGGCTCGCATTGTATCATGCTTATTAATTTATTGAGCCATGGATCTTTACTCCGTAATGGGCAACACAACGTGATGGTAGTTTTATGTATACGAACATAATTTAATAGCGGGGCAATTAACTGCCATGGTGGATTAGCCCACGCATTATGTTTGGAGAGATCCATTTGAAAGGCGTCTTCCAAAGGATGATTTAAAGTCCTGTAATTCGATAGTTGTGCATTATGATGTGTAGCAAACATATCTATGTTATGTGGCCCAAATATCTTTTGAGCCAATTCAAACCACCTGGGATTACACTTCCAGTCAGTGGCTAGTAACTCACGTACGGATTTGTTAAAGTCCGGTACGGAGCGTGATAACATATCCGGTAAATGGTTATATATTCCTGGCAGATGGTTTAATATCAAAATGAAACTTTGATATTGTCTCATGCCAGCGACTCAGTAATTGTGAGTCGGGTTTCATCTCTTTTATATATTGGAGAGATTATCTAATCACACATCAGCGTAAATGCTGTTCCGTATAAGTAATCTCGGAAGTGTGTTAGAGCTGCCACTATGGCTAATAGCTCTTGTTTAACAGTTAGATAATTCAACTGTGAAGCATTCATTGCTCGACAAAAGAATTGTATATATCT